AAAGCAATGTAGCCACTTCAGAAAACAATTTCTTTCTTGAAAGTTAGGCATACATTTACCATAAAACTCAGCAATTCCACTTTTAGGTATCTACTGAAAAGAAATTAAAACAGAGGTTTTCAGAAGATATTCAAATAAATGTTCATAGCATTGTTATTCATGATAGCTACAAAATGAAAACAACCCAGAAGTTAGCTACTGGTGAATGGATAATTAAAATGTGGTGTAATCATAAAAAGAAATTCTATTTAGCAAAAAAAAGGACAAAATATTGTAGCATCGGTAAACTGAAAATCACCATGATGCATAAAAGAAGCTGCCTGCCAAAGATCATATCTATGAACAATTTAAAATTACAAAATTCTTGGAAAAAACAAATTGATACACACAGAAGCCAAGTTCATTGTTTTCTAGAACCAAAGATAGGAATTAAATAGGGATTGGTTCTTTACAAAGGTATATTGAGGGCCTGCAAAGTGACATAGAGGGTAAAGCCACCGTCTGCAGTGCCAGCATCTTATATGGGTGCTTGTTTGAGTCCCAGCTGCCCCCGTTCCGATCCAGCTCTCTGCCATGATCTGGGAAAGCAGTAGAAGATGACTAAGTCCTTGGGACCCTGGACCTGCATGGGAGACCCAGAAGAAGCTCCAGGCCCCTGGCTTTGGATTGGCTCAGCTCTAGCCTTTGAGGCCATTTGGGGAGTGAGCCAAGAGATGGAAGATTCTCTCTCTCTCTCTCTGTCTCTCTGCCTTTGCCTCCATGTAACTCTGCCTTTAAAATAAATAAATAAATCTTTAAAAAAAAACAGGCATATTAGAAAACATGACTTTTTTTCACAATAATTAAGAGAATACTAACTTCTACACAGAAACAAATAGGCAGAAGTTAACTCAGTATGTCTCCATTTATGCATTTTCTTTTTTAATAATAATATTGTTGTCTTACACAAAAAATAAATTTGCAGCATATAGTAGACTTTGTTCCAATGTCTGCACTTGATCAGAGTCTGATAGATCTCTCTTTTTTACATTCTGTTGCCTGCCCCATTTGTTACTATTTTTAGCTTAACGTAGGTACATATTTTATTTTATTTTTATTACTGAAATTTCTTAATTCAATATTTTCTGAATGCTTTTGTTTTATAAGGTAGAAAAACAATTTTAAAAATTAAAATAAGATGCTGTTTACTAAATAAGAGCACTGACAACAAAATTAAGAGGCCAGCACTGTGGCCCCAGTGGGTTAAGCTGCCACCTGCAGTGCTGGCACCCTGTATGGGTGCCAATTTCAGCCCAATCTGTTCCACTTCTGATCCAGCTCCCTGCTAATGGTCTGGGAAAACAGAGGAAGATGACTCAAGTCCTTGAGCCCATGCCCAACTTGGAGACCCAGATGAAGCTTCTGCCTCCAGGCATTGCAGCCATTTGGGGTGTGAAACAGTGGATAGAGGATCTCTTTCTCTGCTCTCCTCTTTCCCTCTGTAACTCTTTCAAATAAATAAAAACTAGTTTATTAAATTAGACAATTCTCTCTTCTATTGTCTCTCCCTATATAAAAGTACAATTGGTTTAATCTCAAAATAAAGAAATGCTATAAAAACTTATATATCCATGTTCTAAAATAAACACACACACACATACACACACATATACACACAAAGAATATAAATGCAGAAAATGGACAAGAATTGGATTGTGTATTTTCCTTTAAAGTGGAATTGTGTTTTGTTTTCTCAGTATGTTTGTACATTCAATAAAGTCACAAAAATTAGAGCTTGAGTCTCTGGCTTTGTAGACTCAAGTTAAAAGCAGTAGCTGTGGATGGACCACATTGAAGGAAGAGAGTTATGACAGAGACAACAATGTAAGTGGAAGGGAAGGGAAACAAACAATACAATAGAACTGATTCTGAGCAGGCACAATTGCCATTAAGAAAAGTAGACCAGAATGTTGCTCTGTGGAATCTCAGCAAATCACATGGAATGTTTTAGTTTGCCTCTGAAAAAAAGATATTTTTATGTAGCTTCAGAAAAATGCATGGCAGCATAAAAATATACTCCATAAAATTAATGTCATTGTCTTACTATTCAGTTAGACACCAATACCCGTGTATATGATTTCCAAAAATTTTACACCAAAATAATCTTATCTTTTTTATTTTATTTTTCATGAACTTTTTGAAGCACTCTCATGCTTGAAAACATTAACTATCTCCCGAAATAAAACTGAATTCTTTAGCTTGGAAACTCAGGACCTCTCACTTTCTGGCTCCAAGTGTTTTTAAACTCATATCACACCACTTTCTGCACATATTTTCTAACCATACGGTTCTAGTATCTTCCTGTCATTGAAAATTTGTACAAGAATTTAGCCATTCTACAACCTAGAATAAAATTGCTCTCTCCTTGCACAGAGGTAAACCGCAGAATATTTTATTTCTACTTCTCATTAGCTGTATATTTAAATTGAATGGTTTGAGTATATGTTTAATATATAGAGCTATTGAAGGCAAAATCATTTTGAAATTAGTTTACTAATCCAAATTGGCAGCCAATGAGTTAAAAAAAGAATGATTTGGTTAACATATTTTTCTATTTCACCTTATTTTCATTAGCTACCTCTGGACTTTATTCCAGCATTAGTAGTTTCAGGAAACACTTTCTATTGTGGATTGAAGAATAACCCTTAATCTGCTCAACACAGTTATTGTCATTCATTGTTTGTCAAATCTAGACATAACAGATGTACAAACTTAATTCTGCCAAAATCTGAGAACTAAATTTCACTGTGCATATTTTGGGTGAAAAACTCACAGGGAGCAAGTTTCATATTTCAAATTATTACTGCAAGATTAGATATATCTTTTTTAAAAGAATCATTTATATATTTTTGAAAGGCAGAGTTACAGAGCAAGAGAGAGAGAGAGAGAAAGAGATAGTAAGAACTATCCCATCCCTTGGTTCACTCCCCAAATGGCTACAACAGCCAGGGTTGGGTCAGATTGAATCTGGAAGCCTGGAATTACATTCAGGTCTCTCAAGTGAGTGTAGGGGCTCAAGAATTTGCTCCATCTTCTGCTGCTTTCCCAGGCATAGCAGCAGGTTCTGTATCAGAAGTAGAGCATCCAGGATTCGAACCGCTGCCCATAAGGGATGTTGATGTCACAGGCAGTGGGTTTACCCACTGCTCCACAATGCTTGCCCCAGAAATATCTTTCTAATATGATGTCTCTATAATTGATTCTATTTGCTTTATGTGGACAATACTGCATAATCACATCCCATGGAAAAATTTTTTTCTTTGCTTTTGGTTTTAAGACTTCAACAGCTAAATGTAAAAAAATGACCATATTGCTAAACCTATTGCAACCCACTTACCTCCAAAAATTCACATTCACAATTGTCCTAATAATATGGCTATATTTCCTAATGGGACCCCAGCCTAATTTATATCCAAAGAGCATTTTCATTCTTGCATTTAAAAGTAATTTGCATTTGTTTTTATGTCCATCAGTCTGTGAGGATACTCTAGTAGGTGGACAAACAGAAATTTCTGTACACGCTAAGGTGCCTGAGTCTGAAATTTTTATCAAAGTGGATCATGTAAGTATAAATACACAACCGATCAAAAAGATAGGGTATGTGTTGATGAGATTTCACAAATAAGACCAGTGTAAGCAAATAATGAAGGATAGAATTAAAAGGGAGAGAATGATCCTGCAGGGGAAACAGGACACACAGCAGACTCATAGGATGGCAGCACTCCTGCCTCAGAATCAACCCTTGGGACATTCGGATCTGGCTAAAAGGTCCATGAGTGTCTCACAGGCATGGAAAGCCATGACACGGTGGCAAAAAAAAAAAAAAAAATCTAAATGAAAGATCCTGGTGAACAAGAACCCAGCAGAAGGAACAGGCCATCAAGGAGAGAGGTGCCTTTCTCTGAAGGGAGGAAGGAACCTCCACTGTGATACGGCCTTGACTAAACAAGTCAGAGTCGGTGAACTCAAGGGGCTTCCATAGCCTAGACAGCTCATAGCAAGAGTCTCGGGTGATTGCTGATGTCATAAAATAAGAGTGCCAATTGTTAAATCAACAACGGCAGTCACTGGGTACATGCTCCCCACGTAGGATCTCTGTCCTTAATGTGTTCTACTATGAAACTTAAAAACAACACTACTAGTCGAACCCTATACCTTGTGTGGTTGTGTGAGTACAGCCTGTTGAAATCCTTGCTTAGTATATACTAAGTTGATCTTCAGTATATGAAGGTAATTGAAAATGAAACTCGATGAAGGGCGGGATGGGAGAGGGAGTGGGAGAGGGGAGGGTCACGGGAGGGAGGGAGGTTGGGGGGGAAGCCACAACAATACAAAAGTTGCACTTTGTAAATTCACATTTATTAAATAAAAAAAAAAACTATATAACAAGCAAAAAAAAAGAAAAAAAAGAACTTAATACTTTACCCTTTTAGTTCTAGTTAAAACTATTAGTTGAACTCTGTAATTAATACATAATTACTCTTAGGTGTTTAATTAATGTTATAACTAGTACTCAAATAGTATTTTACACTTTGTGTTTCTGTGTGGGTGCAAACTGTTGAAATCTTTACTTAATATATGCTAAATTGATCTTCTGTATATAAAGATAATTGAAAATTAATCTTGATATGAATGGAAGGGGAGAGGGAGTGGGAGAGGGGAGTGTTGTGGGTAGGAGGGAAGTTATGGGGGGGGGGGAGTTTGTAATCCATAAGCTGTACTTTGGAAATTTATGTTCATTAAATAAAATAAAAAAAAAAAAGTGGATCATGGAGGTGGATGAAATGAGGTCTCTAAACAACATGGGTTCAAAAAATCTAAGCATTTAAAAGCATTTACTTAGACATCAGATGTTACATACATATATGGAGCTTTTTGGTGGCATAAACTAGTATTTTTTAAATACTTATGAAATGATATTCATGTTTGATGCTGTAAAATCTGTTTAAAGTTAACCTTACATCTTGAGAATCACACACAGTGGTACTTGGATTTTCTTTCTTTCTTGACTCAACTTGAGAACTCTCATTGTGTCGAGGAGCACTTTGTTGAAGCTTCAAGAGAAACAAAGAAAAAGAAAAGGAGAGATAATTAAAAAAAAGAGAATTAGGTTTAATAAATTCACGTGGTTACTGCAACACATGATAAAATGTCAATTTTGTATTCAATAAAAAATAATAAAATTAAAATTGTATGTATACTGGAGATCTTAAAAATTCTTAACTTTGAAATAAACAGCATAAATTCTATTCAGTTTTGCATTAGTGATATACAGTGGGATTGTTTTCCCAGTGAAAATATCAATGTTTTGTGCAGTAAAATTTTATTTTGAGGATCCTGATTGTTCAAAATATAAAATCCTGTCCTTTTCCATTATTTTAACCTACAGTATATTTGAATAAGTACATAACCCATTTTACTCCTAAGGAAAAAAAATTATTAAGTATCACAGTTTGCATATTCACCCCAATTCCTCACAAACTAATTAGACTACTTTAAACCTCTCAAGACCCTACATATTATTCTAGAAGTCATCTCTCTGGAAACATTTAATCAAAAGTCAAAACAATTTTCACTCCAGATTCTGGTCAGAGAAGGGAATGCTAATTTTATTACAGCAGATAAAAGAATGTAATGTAAAGATTGCTATAGGCAGATCTAAGATTGTACAGTCAAACTTATATGTGAAACTTTGGCAGAACTAATTTGCATTTGATGTCATGTCCATCAGTCCGTGAGGTTACCCTACTAGGTGGAGAAACAGAAAATTTGGTGCATACCAAGGTGCCTGAATCTGAAACTTTTAACAAAATGGATCATGGAGGTGGATGAAATGAGGTTTCTAAATAATGTGGGTTCAAAAAATCTAAGAGTAAATCATGGCCTCGTCAGAGTACTTAAATCTCACTAGGATTTTTCACCAGTACTGCCTTCAATACTCACTTAATTTTTCCATAAGCAATTAAAAGCTTTGGCAGGGAAAAATCTTACAAAAATAATCTCTTTACAGAAATAAACTCAAAACACTAAATAAACCTGTTAGGAAACTGGCACAGTTTTATCTATGGCGCGATCTACACCCTGATTTACATCCTAAGCCCTGGCTCCCACTGCCATTGCTGGAAGCCAGGTGGCCACAGAGCCCAACCTCTGTTGTCCAGCTCCACCCCCATCCTAAAGGGATTTGCTGCTCCTGCTTCCCTGCCTGCCCTCAGGCAAAGTTTTAAAAGGGCCTGTTCCTGAACATGGCTCTCTTGGCTTCTCTCTTCTCTCTTGGTTCCTTCCTCTTGGCTCTTCTTTCCTGCTCTCTTGGCTCCTCTCATCTGCTCTCCTCTCCTCCTCTGCTCCTCTCCTCCTCTCGTCTCTCTGCTCTATCTTCTCTCCTCACTAGCTCCTCTCCTCTGTCTCTCTCTCTCTTATCCTCTCTTTCTCTCTGTTATCTTTCTTCATCCCTCCCCTCCAGTTTGCTGGGTTTTCCCCAATAAACTCTTTCCCTTACTCCAGTGTTCAGTGCGCTTTGTGAGGGCTAACAGAAATATATAACAAAACCTGATAGAATATTAAGTGCAAAAATTTAATGAATCTAATAGACTATTTTTCTTTTTAATTTTTTGACAGGCAGAGTGGACAGTGAGAGAGAGAGACAGAGAGAAAGGTCTTCTTTTGCTGTTGGTTCACCCTCTAATGACCGCCGCGGCAGGCACGCTGCGGCCGGTGCACCGTGCTGATCCCATGGCAGCAGCCAGGTACTTATGCTGGTCTCCTATGGGGTGCAGGGCCCAAGGACTTGGGCCATCCTCCACTGCACACCTGGGCCACAGCAGAAAGTTGGCCTGGAAGAGGGGCAACCAGGACAGAATTTGGCGCCCCGACCGGGACTAGAACCTCGTGTGCCGGCACCGCTAGGTGGAGGATTAGCCTAGTGAGCCGCATCGCCGGCCCCTAATAGACTATAAAAGAAACATAAAATAAGGTAACTAAATTCACAAAGTAGTTCCCATATTAAGTAACCCAAATCCTAGACATGGGCATAAAAATAAGCAAATAAAGTTAACAAATTCCTCTTTATATTTAAAGAAATGTAACTCATTAAATAAAATCCAGAAAACTTTTAGAGTTTATATCTGTTTACTCTCCTTCTCTCCCATTTTTTCATTGTCTAGGATTCCTATTTCTGATCTCCCTTGTGTATCTTCTCTAAGAATAAAAAAGGCAATTAAGCAAGAAAATAAATTTCTGCTTTCTAATCCTATTAAATGTCTTCAATAATCTTTAGAGCTAGCACTTAAATAATTCAAAGAACAGTCAAGCATTCAGAGCAGAATGACTTTGGTGGATAGAAAGATAGCAAAGGATTGTTTTTGTCTACAGAATTTACACAATTTGCTATTCACATAAATAACAATATAAAGTGCATTAAGGAAGAGGGGACACAAGCAAGGCTGTACATATTTTCAAATGATGGTGGTCAATCTCATGTGGGAGAATGAGAATAGGCTTGATGCAAAGTGTTAAATGTAAAATGGGTCTCTGAATGATTAAGCCTAGGGTAAGCATTAGGGACAGTGTCCCAGTGAGGAAAATAATTTAAGCAAAGACACAGAGGAAGACGAATCAATGGCTAGCATGTTAGTTTATAGGGAAGCAGAGCAACCAAGGAAAGCGCGCTACAGAATGGAGAGGAAACCACAAAACTGAACTACAATCATGCTTAAATTTAGTAGTCAAATGAAGTCTCCCATGTTTTAAGCAGATGTATGAAGAAGCCCTGTCAACATGATGTGGCAGCATTGCATAGCTAAAGATGGAACAGAAGAGAATTAGCATCGGAAAGTCAAAAAAGAAGCAATTAAAATTACCAGATAGATGATTCAAACTAAAAAGGTTGAAATATACCGAAATGTAGTATCGATATTGGTCACTGAAAAGACTGGACACTAAATAAAATAGTCATTTGAGAAAAATGTTAGAATCTATGACATTTAGAGAATTCTGCAGAGGGAAAAAATTGAGAGGCATGTTTGTAGCAAGAAGGAACTATTACATTATTATAAGGGAGTTTAAAGCACTTGGGACACATAAATAGGTAAGCAATATTAGGATAGAAGTGTTAAAAAAGAAAATCACTTTTAACAAGAACCAAAATAGATATTTATTCCAGCTCTAATCTACTGAACATCTACCACCTGTGTTCCCATGACTCACACTTACAGATGCTTTGAGAAAACAGGTTAAAAGAATAGGGAGAATAAACAAGCAATAGTACTGGAAAAGAGTCTCCCCCTGACACTCTCAGCAAGAACTACTACTGCAAAACATGAAGAAGGAATTAAATCACACTAACAGGAAGGAATGATTTTAGAGTATTTTGTTCCACTTGAACCTTCAGATAACGGAAAGTCCTGACATTGCTTTGTAAATTTATTTTAATGTACAAAAGCATTAGTGGGAATGGAAAACTGCATTCTAGTAATAACTATTTTATTTATCAATGTTGCTTCTAATCTTTGTCGATATACACATGCAGTTTCTCTTTAGTAATTTTTGAACAGTCCATTTTTAAGGTGCCTCCCAACAAAATCATATAGTAAGAGCTGGTTTATCTATCCACATGTTTTGTTTTCTCATCCATTGATCTGTTTGATATCTATGTACTAGCTTAATCATCATAAAATTGCAGTTAGTCTTGGGGATATGAGGCTGGACAAGGAGTCAAGTAATCAAAGAACTGGAAGAATTTCTAGTTTCTGTCTCTAGCCCTGCATCTCAACTCCACTCCTTTGCGTGTCAATTCAGCAATGATTTTCCCATGATGCACGTGAGTTTCCTCCAGCACCAAGAGGGTGGCAGGAACATGTGCATTGAGCTCCATGTGGAAATGCCATGGAAAGCTTCCCAGAAGACATCACACACCCTGAACCCTGCTCAATCTCCACACCATTTGTCTGTTCAATGCAGACACCATCTCCAGTCCAATAAAGGGGTCCACAGAATGGGAAAATCTCTCTCTCTCTCTCTCTCTCTCTCTCTCTCTCTCTCTCTTTCTCCTCACCCATCACTCCCTCTCCCTCTCCCTCTCCCTTTCTCATCTTTCGTTGTGGGTTTGACCATATTCACAATAAATCCTGCTCCCACTTTTGTGCTTTACTTGTGTTCAGGCTTTGAATTCCTATTTTGTATGGGGACAAGAGCCTTGAACAAAGCAACCAAAAAAGTCACAACCTTGATTTATAGAACAAATTTTCTGATCTACGTCCCTTTGGCATATAATGCATATTCTTATTTTCTTGCCATCCATATAAAACTATGTGTGTCCATGACATTTTTATGATGTTTATACATATATAATATAAAATGATACTGTATATGTTTTACATTTATAATTGACAGGTATAAAAATACAGAGTGGATTTGGGAGAAAATTTATTATGGGTGAAAATTTTTCAGTTTTTAATTTTGGGTTATGTAGATAATATGATGGCCATATACCCTTTTGGAAGCAGAAGGTATAAATAAGCCTAGTTGTTTGCTTAAACATTGGACTGTTTTAGGCTGGCAGGTTGTAAAGATAAGATACTATGCCTTATTCATCATTGCATCCCAGGAATGTAATTTGCACTCACTAAAGTTCTGTTTATATTTTTCCCTTTTCATCATTTATTTATGAGATATTTTGTAAGGTAAAGCCAAGATAACAATTAAAGGGGAAGAGGTATATTTATGCTTAGAGAAATCTAAAATGTCACCTGTGAATTACATTCAGCAATGTGAATCAACAGACAGTTATTGTACTTTAACCCTTTAACAGCACCATGTTTAGAACTGACATTAAAACCTAAAAACAGAGCTCCTATCAGTTCCTTCATAAATGCTGATCATTGCTTCTACTTTCATAATAGTCCCTAATTTGGTTCTGAAGGATTGCCATTCTCTCACGGTATGGTATATTCCAAATACTATTTTGTGTTTCAAAACTTGTAACCTGTCCAAGAAGCAAGTACATGATTCAAGTGAGATCATTAGTAACTTCATTTTTGGAATTTAAATGGTCAGA